GTCAACTACAGCATACACTCTATAGGGTCAGTGAGTGAGTATAGTTTTACACCGCTTTTTAGCAATATTCCAGCAATATCACTGTGGGAGACACCTGAAATGGGCTTTACACATTGTACAGTACCCATGTGGGGAATCGAACACGGGCATTCGCTGTGAGGAGTGAATGCTTTAGCCACTAGGCTATCCCACCACCCCTCACTCTATAAAGGGGCTTGACTTGGATCCAACTTCACCAGCATGTCCAAATGGTCACAGCTTTCTCATATGTGCCACTTTTGACAATAACCCTCAAGCTCAGATACAGCTGCATTTTAATAAATACTGAATGTGTACATAGCATAATCACTGAAATCCACATGTAATTCATGCATGTACTATGCATCGCTTTGCATGATTTCCACACTGAAATTTATTTTATTTTACAACAACTAGATACCAACAAATAGTCCTATCTACAACATATTCATAACTCTGTCACGCCCCAATATCAAAATGGCTGCTCGGATAAGCAATGATAAAAGGAGAAAAGAAAGTTATTCATTGCTATGACTGAATTGATAGAATAAAGTACCAATTTGTTGGTAGACACATACAGCGACAAGGGATTGTGAAAGTGTTGTGTAACAGTCATTTATCTACATCGACAATGGAATCTGAAGATGGCAAACATTAACACTGATAAAGGACTTTCTGTTCTAAAGTGAAACCGAATAGCTGAAATTCCAGATTCAAATATTAAAACTAGACATGGCAGAATAAGCAATAGGTGACCAATGGATACTTTCAAGGAGCACCTTCACTGGTCGGCACTCCTGTAGCAGGAAGAGTACGTGTTAAGATTGCATATCACTGATGTTAACGATCAAATACTTGCCAGATGAACCTGCACTGCAGTTGTGGCGTTGAACAGGACTCGCACTTGAGTACAGAGCGATGGCAGCTATCATTAACTCCTTTCGGGAAGAAATACAACGCTAATTTCTTCCTGCTTCAAATTCCCTTCCATGGGCAAATAACGCCATCTTGTGACTAATTTCATAGAACCGATAACGAAACAGACATTCGTAGTACTTACTTTCGTTTTGTAAGTCACATGTCAAAACATTGTATTTTCCTTGCATCGATATGGAACGCTAAGGCACCGCTGGATTTACACGGCCGTGTTTGGAGCTAGTGTACGCGCGGCAACAGTTATCTCCCTTACACCACACCGCTTCCGCGATCCCCCCCCCCCCCAGTTCTCCACTTCCTGGAAACTCATCCGTGGCTACGGCGTACAAAATATTGAAACAATCTATTCGTTTGGTACAACCTGTACTCCTGATGAGGTTAATGGCACACGACTTTTATATTGCAAGCCTTCTAAAACTGGAAGGTGAAGCGAGTTGGTTAAAATAAACCCGTCATCAACTTAGGCGGATCCAGAGAGAGCTCGTGAAAGTGAAATGAAGTGTGCCCTTTCTCAAAAAAGCTGTATCCGCCCCTGATTAATGGGCATCTTATCAAATGTGTTTTATCCAGTCACCAAAGTTTGATATAACCAAATCCTTCCGAAGCAACGAAGAAGGTTTGAGTGATTGAAACGAAATTCCTCCAGTAAAACGCACAACTGAGAGTACTGAATTCCCGATGAGCAAAATTTAGATCCAGCTGACTGGCTACCCGAAATAAAATATATATTTGTGTCTTCGAAACTCAAAATCTGAAATAAAACAAAATGAATAGAATATGGGTTCAGTTCGAGACTTGTCTACTTTGTAAGTTCTGAAAACGAATCGTACTAATATTTTTTAACAAACTCGGAACGATCCTGCTGAGAATTTATCTTTAGCATCCTTAGCTTCCAAAGCGGCTGCATTATGGCTAATGTATGTCATCGTATCCCAGTTACGAAGATCGATGCTCAGTGTCTCAATCACAAGATTGCCTGGTCCAAACAATGGTAATTAGCTTGAGAAAGGCTGAGTGGAACATAGAACAATTAAGAAACTGATCATGGGATTAATATGCGAAGAATCATTTATCGTCCCTTTCTATGAAATATTAATTATTTGAATTTGCAAACCATAGACTTACCACTCAACCACCCACAACCTAGTCAAACTATACACAGACTAGTCAACACATTTATAAGCTAAACACCCATACACATGCTTGTCAACCGGAGACCACGAGCTCTCAACCACACACAATCTAGTCAACTTTAGATCTAGTTCTCTACCATATACAAGTTTTTCAACCTGAAAACCAGCCCTCAAGCACACACCATCTAGTCAACTTTAGATCTAGTTCTCTACCATATACAAGTTTTTCAACCTGAAAACCAACCCTCAACCACACACAATCTAGTCAACTTTAGATCTAGTTATCTACCATATACAAGTTTTCAACCTGAAAACCAACCCTCAACCACACACAATCTAGTAAACTTTAGATCTAGTACTCGACCACATACAGTTTTTCAGCCTTAACACTAGCTCTCAACCACACAAAGTCTAGTCAACTTTAGATCTAGTTCTCAACCATCATACAAATTTGTAAACCTACAGGCACTAGCTCTCAACCACACACATTCTGGTCAACTTAAAATCTAGTTCTCAACCACAAAAATTTTTCAGCCTGAACACTGGCTCTCAACCACACACAATCTAGTCAACTTTAGATCTAGTTCTTAACCATATACAAGTGTTTCAACCTCAAACACTAGCTCTCAACCAGTCACAATCTGGTCAACTTTAGATCTAGTTCTCAACCACATACAAGTTTGTAAACCCTGAACACTAGCTCTCAACCACACACAATCTAGTCAACTTTAGATCTAGTTCTCAACCATATACAAGTATTTCATCCTAAACACTGGCTCTCAACCACATACATTCTGGTCAACTTAAAATCCTAGTTCTCAACCATATACAATTTTTTAAAACCTGAACACTAGCTCTCAGCCAGTCAGGTCATTCATTCCCAATAACTTTTTAGATCTAGTTCTCAACCATATACAAGTATTTCATCCTAAACACTAGCTCTCAACCACACACATTCTGGTCAACTTAAAATCTAGTTCTCAACCATATACAATTTTTTAACCTTAGAACACTAGCTCTCAACCACACATAATCTGGTCAAAGAGTTTTAGATCTAGTTCTCAACCATATACAAGTATTTCACACTGAACATTGGCTCTCAACCACACACATTCTGGTCAACTTTAGATCTAGTTCTCAACCATATACAAAGTTATTTCAACCTAAACACTAGCTCTCAACCACACACAATCTAGTCAACTTTAGATCTAGTTCTTAACCATATACAAGTATTTCATCCTAAACACTAGCTCTCAACCACACACAATCTAGTCAACTTTAGATCTAGTTCTCAACCATATACAAGTATTTCATCCTAAACACTAGCTCTTAACCACACACAATCTAGTCAACTTTAGATCTAGTTCTTAACCATATACAAGTATTTCAACCTGAACACTAGCTCTCAACCACACACAATCTAGTCAACTTTAGATCTAGTTCTTAACCATATACAAGTATTTCAACCTGAACACTAGCTCTCAACCACACACAATCTAGTCAACTTTAGATCTAGTTCTTAACCATATACAAGTATTTCAACCTGAACACTAGCTCTCAACCACACACAATCTAGTCAACTTTAGTTCTAGTTCTTAACCATATACAAGTATTTCAACCTGAACACTAGCTCTCAACCACACACAATCTAGTCAACTTTAGATCTAGTTCTTAACCATATACAAGTATTTCAACCTAAACACTAGTTCTCAACCACACACAATCTAGTCAACTTTAGATCTAGTTCTCAACCACATAAAGTTTTTTTCAACCTGAACATTAGCTCTCAACCACACACAATCCAGTCAACTTAAGATCTACCTCTCAACCACATAAAGTTTTTCAACCTGAACACTAGCTCTCAACCTCACACACAATCCAGTCAACTTTATACACAATCTTGTAAGTAGTACACATGAGTATCAACCACACAGCTAGTGAACAACCAATACAAGCGCAATCAACCATCCATACACTACTCTGACTAGTACACATATTGACATGCTGGAAAACACAAACACATGCTCGTTAACACATAAATGTGCTGCTAGGATACTCACACATAGTCTAGTCAACCATGCAGAGACGAGTCAACCATGTAGTGAAAGGGTCAGTATCCTCATACATGTGGCTCATATCATCCCACAGTAAACCCAGGCAGGAGATAGTCTATATCTCCTATATCTATATATCTGCTAGTTAACCACACACAGTCTAGTCAACCCATGTTTGTTCGTGACTAGTCAACCCATACATGTTGAAGCTAACCATAACAAAACTCGTCAACCATGCACCCTCTCTAATCATCCCATAGCAAATTCAGACAGAAGATAGTCCACTAATATCTGCTACTTAACAATACACAGGCTACTCAACCATTAGGAGTCAACTCATAAATTTATTCGTGAGCCATAATCAGACTAGTCAACCCATGCATGTTGAAGCCAGCCATAACAAAGACTAGTCAACCATACACTTGCTAGTCAACGATGCATAGAACAGTAACCTACACACATGCTAATTAACTCACACAGACTAGTCCATCACACCTGCTACTAAACTCACACACTGGCTAGTAAACCCACACACAGACTAGTCAGTCATACATCGGCCACTAAACTCACACACAGACTAGTCAATTATACACCGGGTAGTCATGCTTGCAAAGTCAAGCCTACCTCTTGATGCATACGTCATCTGTTTGAGGTCATGGCTGAACCATGTCTTGTAACAAATACAAGTTTTCTCGAAAAACTATTTCAGATCTGCGTTTCGAGCACGCTAACCTCTATCACATCTCGAATTGTCCTCACTTTGTTCATTCCTTGTTCACATATCCAATAACGTGTACCTGTATAGAAATACAGGAGCTGCAAGTGTATACATATACATATATAGTATTACAAGTCTTACCTCTAGTAGCCAAAGCTTAAACACAACTAACCCATCGTGCTTCAGAAACAGATGTGTGCACGTTTGGTGGTTGTAAGGCCGGTAGCCATTTACCCTACACGATAACACACTTCCATGAAATCAGTACACGCTACAAAGGAAAAGACACGTTTCTGGGTACGTATCATATGCATGTCAAGTTAAAGGCTAAACGCTATATATGGAAGTTAAACCCTCAGCCTCACCTATGACGATATAAATTTGCTATGTAGATAGCAACGAGGCCAACATGACAACACATCGATCAGTGTGTTCATGATTAGCCCGTATCTTATCTTGTTCACATCAACAGTTAATCAATGTATCGAGCCTTTGGGTTTGAAATACATGCTCGACATGCTACACGTGTTTACTTATGTTTGCGTTTGTTTTAATAATGGAACAATTTATCGGCATGTTTGTGTCAACGGACTAAATTATTACGGGATGAAAACACTCCAATCAGTGTAAGGTCACTTCCCTCAGGATATCATCACCCCCAACGGAAACATAGGCAGATTACACAATACATAATTATTTGGAAATAATAAAATTCAAAACTACAAGATGTATCAGCGGCTATCACCAGTTACCACTGTATTGTATGTACATGGTGTGTGTGTGAGTGGTATACATGCTTTCACAAACCATTTTATCCTCATATGAAAGACACGTGGCACCTTTTTTAATTTTTAACTTTGAAAGTAACCGCCCATAAGTAAATTCTTATTATTTTGTTTTACTGAATATCCATATTTGTCATATATATATTTATTCAAAGAAGTAAAACGCAACACTATATTATAAACGCGAGCTCAGTGACATGTATAAAGGCGTTATTCTGGTAACTCTCCACTTGTAATTGTTACGCATCGATGTTACAACACGATTGAAACAACAATTTGCTGTTAAAAGAATTCGGTTGGTATCCAGCATGTAACAAAGAACAGTTCAATTTGTAATATTTTATTTAATTGCATTCTAAACTGAAGAAAGTTTACAAAGGGGTACAAATCACTACAATGGGTTTACAATGATAACTGTGAATGGGTACCTCGCTAGGATGAGAAAGCCACAATAACTTGGTGCGCCTAGTGGCTGCAAGAGTTGCATACTCCCCAGGGAGTTGAGATTGATAATACGATGTGCCGTTGAGATTGACATACAATGATCGAGGGAAGAAATACCAGCGCCTTGAGCATGCACTAGCTGCGTGGATATGTGCGATATATAAGTATCCAATAATAACATAATAATAATAATGCAGAAGGCTGCAGTGTTGGTGAGTCTTCATATTCTCCGGAAAGTTCTTGGTGGGTTCGACTAGGCAGCGTTTCCTGGGAGAAGTCCCATTCGCTGTCTGGGCTGCGTGTAGAGGGGGCAAGGGCCTTGAGCTGATGATGAGCCTTACCATCCTGACTGTGTCAGGATCACTCGAACCCTCTCTGCTGCATGTTCATCTAAGACAGACTTTAATCTGTAAAACATGATAATAATAGTACACATTCAGTGACAGTAAATAGTATCCAACAGACACGTGTAGTTCAGCTAAAAGAAACGAAAATAGAATTATTAATGGTGTTTCGCTTTAGCTTTGGGATTCTAGGAAAGACTGCTTGTTTAAGACATAAACGACGTCTTAAGCGGAAACCCTGTCCTTAAAAATAGAAGTGGATTCCCATTATCAGGTGACAGAATACTTCCAAGTAGAAACAATAGGTTAACCAAGAATAGGTAAGGAGAGGAATTCGATGTGAAACCGTAAAACGACCTGGAAACGTAATCACAAATGTATTCTAAATTTAACTAAGTATACAAATTAATACTGCAAAGAAATACAAGAGTAGTTCAAATAGAGTGGAGGTACAAATACAATGGCATCCCTGGAAAGGATGAAAAGTGATATTCACACAGCTGCTGGGTTGATGTTGTGTGAGTGATGATATGCATGTGTTGCCCCACTTACATAGTCAGGAGTACCTTCTGGAACATTCTATAATGCCCTGGGTCAGACTATGCTGGGTTGGTGTTGTGTGAGTGATGATATGCATGTGTTGTCCCACTTACATAGTCGGAGTACCTTCTGGAACATTCTAGAATGCCCTGGGTTAGACTACGCTGGGTTGATGTTGTGTGAGTGATGATATGCATGTGTTGCCCCACTTACATAGTCGGAGTACCTTCTGGAACATTCTAGAATGCCCTGGGTTAGACTACGCTGGGTTGATGTTGTGTGAGTGATGATATGCATGTGTTGCCCCACTTACATAGTCAGATACCTTCTGGAACATTCTAGAATGCCCTGGGTTAGACTACGCTGGGTTGATGTTGTGTGAGTGATGATATGCATGTGTTGCCCCACTTACATAGTCGGAGTACCTTCTGGAACATTCTAGAATGCCCTGGGTTAGACTACGCTGGGTTGATGTTGTGTGAGTGATGATATGCATGTGTTGCCCCACTTACATAGTCGGAGTACCTTCTGGAACATTCTATAATGTCCTGGGTTAGACTACGCTGGGTTGGTGTTGTGTGAGTGATGATATGGATGTGTTGCCCCACCTCTACATAGTCGGAGTACCTTCTGGAACATTCTAGAATGCCCTGGGTTAGACTATGCTGGGTTGGTGTTGTGTGAGTGATGATATGCATGTGTTGCCCCACTTACATAGTCGGAGTACCTTCTGGAACATTCTAGAATGCCCTGGGTTAGACTACGCTGGGTTGATGTTGTGTGAGTGATGATATGCATGTGTTGCTCCACTTACATAGTCGGAGTACCTTCTGGAAACATTCTATAATGCCCTGGGTCAGACTATGCTGGGTTGGTGTTGTGTGAGTGATGATATGGATGTGTTGCCCCACTTACATAGTCGGAGTACCTTCTGGAACATTCTATAATGCCCTGGGTTAGACTATGCTGGGTTGATGTTGTGTGAGTGATGATATGCATGTGTTGCCCCACTTACATAGTCGGAGTACCTTCTGGAACATTCTATAATGTCCTGGGTTAGACTACGCTGGGTTGATGTTGTGTGAGTGATGATATGCATGTGTGTTGCTCCACTTACATAGTCGGAGTACCTTCTGGAACATTCTATAATGCCCTGGGTTAGACTACGCTGGGTTGATGTTGTGTGAGTAATGATATGCATGTGTTGCCCCACTTACATAGTCGGATTACCTTCTGGAACATTCTATAATGCCACCAAGGTTGGAGACTATGCTGGGTTGATGTTGTGTGTGAGTGATGATAGTAGATGTGTTGCTCCCACTTGGACATAATTAGAGGTACCTCTGAAACATTACCTAGAATGCCTGGGTTTAGACTACGCTGGGTTGATGTTGTTGTGTGAGTGGTGATATGTATGTGTTTTATTTACTTACATAGTCGGAGTACCTTCTGGAACATTCTATAATGCCCTGGAGTCAGACTATGCGGGGTTGATGTTATTGTGAGTGGTGATATGGATGTGTTGCCCCACTTACATAGTCGGAGCACCTTCTGGAACATTCTAGAATGCCCTAGGAGTTAGACTATTGCTGGGTTGATGTTGTGTGAGTGATGATATGGATGTGTTGCCCCACACTTACATAGTCGGAGTACCTTCTGGAACATTCTAGAATACCCTGGGTTGTTTACTACGCTGGGTTGGATGTTGTGTGATGATATGCATGTGTTGCGAGGACATTGTCAAAGAGTAAAACCGGTTTCATGTAAAGCACGTATATCCAAAGAGTTATGCCGGCGGTGGATGACTGAAACGGTGTGAAGCCATGGCCATATGCTGGATATGCAGGTCCACCCAGCTTCTGACGCTATTCGTTATCAAAAAGAGAAGCACGGACCTCTTTCAAGAGGGTGACACATTTCTGGCTATCAGTATATCCACTTTGGCATTTTGGTACTTATTTGCTTAGCCACGTGTGACCCATTCGATTGACCATCTGACAGTAAACACTCTAGATGAATATTAGAATACAGTGAATATGATTATTCACTGCTCTTGATTGGCCTTTTACAATTTAACGTTTTAGTTCTTCTGGAATCAATTTAGAAACTACGAAAAACTTAAAAATCTAAACCAGCATGGTTTATCCCATGCTGGATATCATTAAATTAACGCATGCAGGAGGTTATAAGTGATTACTTAGTATTCTTCACGCCATAGTTCATTTCGGACTACAAGATGCCATGTTTGTTATGTGCCAGCACGCTACACCAGCTGAGACCTGGCAGTCTGTAAATAGGACACGAACAATCCAAGTTATTGACATCATGAGGCATCTAGGATACACGTACGATGACATATGTTAACTTCACGTCAGCGAGCCTCAATTTCATCCAATCCCGTTAGTCTCATCTAAGGCTGGTCTCGTCCATGGATCTCGCCAGCCTGTAACAATAACATAAGCAAGCAGCCTGTAATGCAATTCAAGCTTAACAAAGTATGACCTATAATGAATACATTAAATTGAGCTGCTCACAATCAATGTAGCAAAAGAAATGGCGCACCTGTTCAGAAACGACGTCATAACAATTTACTTGTCTGTGTCCATTTGTTGTATGGCATTAGGGCAATGCGGTATTGCATGACGCTGTTCCCGAAAGTTATTGTCATGTGGAGCTGTTTGACCTCACGGTGACGTCAGTTGTCACACATGACCAACATATCACGTTAAGTGCACAGTGCTTTGATCGCATGTTTTGAATGATCCATGTCGAATCATTTGAACCTTTATAAGTCACTTTGAACGAATTGTCACTTACCGTATAACTCACTATCCCTGCTTGTCGTACGTATCATTATCAGTAATTACACGTACGTAGTTACATGTATCGACAAACAAAACGTTGACAGACTCCAGCTTCCAAAGTTAGAAACCCCATTTCTAGATTGTCCCGCCGTATTATTACAGAGCGTACATGGCA